TTACCATGAATGTCGGGTGTAAAAGGAAATATTGGAGATATGAGTAAGGAATGGAGCCTGGCCCTTGCCCTAGACTGCACTAAACTGCCATGTGAAATGTAAATGTCCCGCTTTGAGACTCGAGACCTCTCGTGATATAAAATTGATATGGTTAAAAAGAGCCGCGTCTAGATATCATTTCTTGTATTGGAAACGCAGCAGCTTTGTGCTGCTGCTGGTGACTCTGTGGTTTTCATTCCCCGGGCACGATATTTTTTATGCGTTTTTGCATCTATGCAGTGCAAAAACGCATATTGTCAAAGGGTTGTCTGTGTATGCGTCTGCACCGATTTTCCATCTCGAGACCTATAAAAGTTGCAGAGGTGGAACTTTGGGGACTTAATCTACGTGCACTTACGGGCCTCAGTTCCAAAGTAGGTGCTCTTACCCCGTAGTTTCCCCGTGCAAGCCCGCCAAGGTTTTTGGAGGTAAGTTGTTTACGAGAAAAGCTAGAAAGTTGAAATTTAAGGGAATGTTTCCTGGTAGTCCTAGCGGTCAGTCTCAATTCTTTTAAATTGAAACATCTGCCAGAAAAATCAGTGCCATTTGCGACAAAGAGCTGCGGGGAACCATGCGAAAAATGCATCTTCGCATCGGCAGTCGGTGGGCTGGCTATTTATTAAATAAAGCTTGTTTTTGATGCCGCATGTGATGTGCGTTCGATTGAGCGAACTTTACGTACTAGTAATGCCAAAACCACTCGAACAATCTGTGTTGGTATCCCACTTTATTGATGTTACTGAGGCGTTCCCGCACACCGAACGCATCTATACCAGATAAATTTTTCAAAAAATCGAAAGTTCGATGTCCAGTTAGGTTTTTTTTTCTTCAGGTTTGGCATGTCGATTGGGTACACAGCAGTTGTACAGTTGCTCACGTGATCGTACTGTTAAACTTTGGAATTTAGATGAATTAGGATATGTGGATACGCTGTTTGGTCATGTTGATGCCATCGCTGACATTGATGCCTTATCTAGGTAAACACTTAACAGAGCTTTCAGTTTTTGATCCGTTACAGTTTTCTGAATTACTAAAATATTCGAAAAACACAAAGAGTATCAACTCTCCGAATAGTTAAACTCCCGGAACAGTGAATTCCATGTCAGTGATGTTACTGGTATGCTCTCGTGCACCAAGCGTAGCTAAGCCAGGTCCTTTGATCATAGATTTTGCAAAACTTCTAACTAATATTCGCCACTTTTTTTTGGCTGAATTCACCAGAATTGGCATTTATTTGGTGTTTAATACTGCAGAATTAATACACAGTGTTTGTGAGTGGTCAGCAGTATGAGCAGCATACTTTGCCTATTGGATTTATGCAAAATTTGTGGTGATTTATGCCAGTGATTGCAAAGGGTAGGTGTAAAGCAACAACCGTTTATGCAGTTAATGACCTGAGCACTTCAAATCCGGTGCAAAAACGCATGATCGCACGGGCCCGCCCGGTGCGTTCCAGCCTGGGTTATATGGTTGTAAAGAGGCATTGCAAGCATCGTTCGCTCCATGCTCGTTTTGATTAGCCTCTGTCATTACCAGATTTAAAAATTATAATACACATATTTAACTTTAAGCTTTTTTCTGTTACATATAAAAAGTTCCGGAAAAGGCAGGCATTCAAAATTAGGAAATATATTCCTGGGTTTTATCTTCATCTTGTGTTAATCTTCGAGCCAAATTCTCCCAAGGGTGCTTTTTTTGTCATTTGACCGTTGCTTTACAGAGAACGCTTTATCACTGCTGGAGCCCACGATCGAACGCTGAGGTTGTGGAAAGTACCGGAAGAAACACATTTAATATTTAATGGTTACGCATCGTGTGTCAGTATTGATTGTGTGGCTCTAATCAACGAAAATCATTTTGTTTCAGGATCAGCTGATGGGTAGGTATTGATTAATAAATAAAGTCTTTAGTGAAGCCTGATTTTCTGCCAAAATTTAAAAGTTTTGGGAAAGCTGATGTTTTTTTTTTTGTTCTTCGTTTTGCTATCTTCTGAGCTTACCTTGGCATGTGGTTCAGATAAAATGACTTTCCCTCTGTGCGGCGGTTATTTTAGTTGCTTCGATTGTTGCTGCATCGCCTGCCATGGCATACACCTCCTGAAGGCATTTATATTAAAAAATTAAAAATAACTTTTTTAAAAAGAAATATAGCTTTTTTCAAAAAAAAACTTAAAAACTTCCTCTTTTTTGAAATGTTTTTTTCCTCCTTCCTTTTCCTTTCTCTCTTCACCCCACCCACACTTCTTGTAATCTCACAATCATGTCGTTCCCATCCTTTTTTCGTGTCGTCTTTCTCATTTATTTTTTTTTTTCCTTTTCCATTAAGCACGGCAACCGTCATACCGACGAGGTCCTGTCGTGGTGTTGAGTTAAGGCGTATATGACTTAATGGACCAAAATGTCTTACCTCACTCTTGCATTCTTTTCTCATACTTTCTTTCGTGCTCTATTCTGTGGCGCTTTCGCCATTTTGGCTTCCTGGGTCAACCTAGTTGCTACAGTCGGCTTACCAGCGAAATGGTTTTCCCCCCTAAAGAATTGCGTGG